AGATCTGTCGGCAGGCGGTTCTCCGTGCGACGAGCCGCGTTGTCAACATCAGCAGCAGCTCCAGTGTGTGTGGTGTGAGTGGGGGCATAGGCACCTGGAGGCGATGGATGGGGGGCTGGGGGAGGAGTGGGGGGTGGGCGAGTGGCCGCCATGCCTTGTGTGATGGCGGTGAGGGCGCCAGAGGCGGCCGAGATGCTGCTCTTGAGGGTGGACCAGTGAGAGGAAGCAGACGGCACCTGAGGCCATCGACACAGACAAAGAGGAATGAGTCATGGCGGCGGTGGTGATGGGATAACCTCTCTGACCTTGGGCGTGACATTCAAGGCGAATGAGCCTTCTGCAACCGACACATCACGCTCCACCTGACCAACACATGCAGCCCCAACAAATGGTCCAGCTGTGTGTGTGCATGTGTGTCATGGTCGTATCTCTCACCTGTGTCAGTTGTGCCAGCAGCACTGAGAAGCGCCGCTGCAGCTCATCAAAGCTCAAGCTACCACCTGCCGCCTGCAAACAGACACACAAGACAAACACAGCCCTCATCGCACACAAAGGGCGCTCAAATGTACATGGGAGAGACCGCCCACCGATGCGTCACGGGTCACGTCCATCTGCGGCTGAGATGACATCCCACTCATCTGACGATCTGACGACACCACACATAGCACGGGACATCCTCTGTATGTCTGCATCGTTGCTGTCGCCGTCCTCTCTTACCTTCGGCAAACCCGCCGTCGATGCGCTGGCGCTTCGAGCCATCAGCACCAGACATCTCAAACACACGCTGCTTGATGATCAACAGGTGCCACGAAGCGGAAACGGCGCCTCAGGCGGCGCGAAGAGCAATATTACTTATCCATCATCGGGGCGAATTAGCGGCTCCGTCCGCCTACAGGCACCGATGTCATCTCTTTGCCCCTCTCCATCTTCCTCTTTTCTCCTCCTCTTTTCTTCCTCACCAGGAGCCGGGGCTCCCGTGTAACCGAACGAACAAAACGAACTTTGTTTCGTCGCTTGAGCTGAGTGATGCTCGACGATGGCAGCGTCATCAGAATCATCATCGGCTGCTGCTGCAGCCTTGCCTCACCCACAGGTACAGTACACAGACAGACCACACAGCCACGTGCACAGCCACAGGCACATCATCGCGATGCGATGCAGTGAGGGAGTCAGTCGTTGCTGTCACTTGTCACTTTCGCTTCCTTCAGGCCGGCCAGCAAAGCAGCCGGCTGTTTGACCTGCCCCCTGAAGTGGACAGCCAGATCTTCCCATTTCTCGGCTCAGATCTGGCCATCGGGCTAGCCCGCCTCCGCTGCACAAGCAAACGCGGCAAACAGCACGTGGACGCGGGACTTCCTCGAATACTCATTGCGTACCATCTGAGTATGGCTGGGTGCAGTTCATTCTGGCAGCTGAGGGCTGACGGCTGGATGGCTGGCTGATTCTCTCAACGAGTCGAGTCACGCACACACGCGTTATTGATCGCATCGACCGCCGTGCCGCACATCGACCGCCGGCGCCATCGCGCCCTCTCCCGCAGCGCCGAATACACAAGACGTCCGGCTGGCTGACCACCCTCCCGCTGACAGACAACAACAGTGATCTTTGTGATGCGGAGTTTCGATGCCCTCAACACAACATGCGGTACGGCCGTCAGCCGCCCGGCCTCGCTGCACGCTGCGACCACTGCAACCAGCCCCTCACCGTCGACCATGCGCTGTGCTGCAAGCGGTACGGCCTGGTGATTCGTCGCCACAATGAACTGCGGGACACCTTTGCCGAGCTGATTGGGATGGCTTGGGGTGACGCTGGTGTGCGTCGGGAGGTGGTGTTGAAGGAGGGAGAGGAGGGGGAGCGCGGGGTCAGGGCGGACACCGTCGCTCGCGGCGTGTGGGAGCGGCAGGCGGCTGCGTCGTTTGACATCTGCATCACTGATGCTGACGCACCGTCTTGTGCTTCCAAGATCGACCAAGGCCATGCTGAAGCAGCACGTGACCACCAAGAAGATGAAGAAGTACCGCTCGGCCATCTGCGACTCCCGCATGACCTTCTGCCCTCTGGTGGTGACGTGCGACGGTGTGTGGGGACACGATGGATGCCAACGTGTTCATCTCATCGCCCACATGGCCCATGCGCTGTGGGAGAAGGAGGGTGGAAGGGTCGGAAATTTAATCGCGTCTGTGTATCGCCCTCGCGCGTGCGACTAGCTACTGTCTGCAGGGGTGAGGGGGGAGGAGGGGGACTGGGGTGTGCTGATGGGGCGGGGATCGATCCCTCCTCCCCAGGCTTGAGCCTGTTGACTTTCCGTGCTGATGGGACTGTATTTGTATGAGTGTCACGGACATACAGACGAGTGTTACGTTTAATTAATGCAAGTCGTCTCCGCCCATTTTCCGTCACGGTGCATGGTTTGGTGTGGCTACCACACACACACACACAAACCACACACGCGGCCACAACCACAGCCACACACAGACAGACGCACACGTGCAGGCAGACAGACACTGAAGACATTTTCCCTACGTATCGACTTTTGCCCTCCTACCATGCGCACCACGTATGCGGCTGGCTGGCTGGCCTCTCTGGGTGTGGCGCGTGTATGCTTGTCTTCAAGAGCATCCTGCCGACCCCCGGCTCTCATTCTTGCACAAGAATGGAAGCTGGCGGTCCGCTCGTTGCTCTTGAGGAGAGCATGCCTGCCTGCCTGGTATGAGCTGATGCACACAGAGACAGACGGACATTTCCGAGTGAATCAGTGAGGTCACGAAAAGATTTGTGGACACACACATACAGCGCGTCAGACAGCTTGTCCCACCGATAATGAGTCGAGCAGAGCTCTGTCAGCGGGGCTTGTCATCACGACCCCGTTCAGAGTTTCTCGGACGCAATCAGGCCATCAATCCCTGCACACGGCGAGGCGCAAGCCGGATGGATGGATGGATGGACGAGAGGATGGACCGTATCGTGTGTCAATGCGTTCGTCACCGTACCTTGTGAGATGATATCAAAGACTCTCAGATGGCCCCCCTCATAGTACCTGACACCACACAGACACAGACACAGACACTCGCACACCACACGGATGAGTGCTAAGCTTCCATGGTGAGTGAGTGCGTCTGCCTCTCTGCATGTGTGTCGCGTGGCTCACGGATCTGGCGTGTCGGACAGGCCGAGATGCGACGCATACTCTACGAGCACAGCACACGGCAGACACGGCAGAGAGGACCAAAGAGAAAAAAGTGTGAGAGGGAGGCTTCACGTGTAAGTGGATGTGTGTGTGTGGGCGGCACACACTCACTTGGCAAGAAGAGGTGCAGCTTGGACTGGTATGCGGCAGGGCACCTCTGCTGCAGGCTGCGCAGGTTGCTGCTGTCCATCGCCACCACCATGTCAAAACGAACAAAATCTGCACACACACACACACACACAGGCCTCATTCAATTCTGGCCTGCCAGGCGTCACTCACCTTGGTCAGTGACCTGCCTGGCCCTGTGCGACGAAAGGTCCACGCCTCTCTGCCTGGCCGCCAGCTGCATGTCGTCATCGGCAGCCGCCCCGGCGAAGTGGCCTCCTGTGCCTGCAGACTCGACGTGCAGTGAAGGCCGCTTGGACCGCATATAGCCCTCAGCTGCTGCCGAGCGGTTGATGTTGCCTGCAGTGCACGGCTCGACAACAGGACAGATTCAGACAGCAGACAGTCGTTTGTGCGTGTCTTCTGCTGTCTGAATGTCCCGCTGGATCTCACCCAGGCACACGAACAGAATGCTTGATGGCTTCTTCTCGCCATTTATCATCACGACCTGCCGGCGCCGGCAGCTGCTGCCGCCGCCAAGTGCACTCGAATGCGCAGACAGGGTCCTCCTAGGGAGGCCAAAGCCAACAGCCGAGGCGCTCGCGAGGCAGAGATGCGATGAGGCCGAGATGACAATTTGATAGATCAATGCAGTTGCCCACAGATATGGACCATTCTGCCTCATGTGAAGCCTTCCACGGGGTAACAAGGTTCGCGGAAGTGACAGACTTCTGAGCTCGCAGGCGCTGAGATGGATGCGTCACTTGCTGCAGATTATGAGCAGATCTTGATTCTGTGCCCCTGAAGACACGCAGAGAGCAGATGTCCGCACCAGCAGAAGAGCCCTGTTGGTCAGGTTCGTCCTCGCTGTGGCTGCCCTTCTTCTTGCTGCAGCTGGTCGCCTTCGCATCTAGCGTGTGTGGAGCCGCCGACGCGCAAGTGCACGTCTTTTACTACATGTGGTGAGTGAGTGAGCAAGATGAACAAACGGCTGTGAAGGCGATGCTCTCTGCAATGGTCGTGTGTATGTTGTGTGTAGGTATGGCAGCCCTGAGCATGACGGCGGGTGGAAGCACTGGAACCACCGTGTGCTGCCGCACTGGCAGCAGGAGGTCACCGACCTATACCGACACGTCGGTCAGACAGACCGGATGCACAGTCACACACATACCGTACCACCACCGCACTCACTGCGTGTGTGTTGTGTTGTGTTGTGTTGTGTGTGGACGGCGCATGCCTGCAGGTAGGTACTAACCACACGCCTCCTGCAGACATCCACGCGCCCTTCTATCCCCTCCTCGGGCCCTACAGCAGCCGAGATGCCAATTTACTAAGTGAGACCATACAGCCAGCCAGCCACACACACACACACACACACACGTGCTCGCAAGTTGTGTTTCTCATGATGGATGGTTTTCTTTACAAACACCTTCAGGTCAGCACATGGACTGGCTGGTGGGGATCGGTGCAGACGCGCTGGTCTTATCGTGGCACGGCATCCATGGCGGGGCAGACGGCGAGGGCGTCAGGACGCACCGCAATCTCAACCACTTTGTGAGGGCACTTGAGAGGAAGATTGAGGAGTGGGCGGCGCGGAAGAGGGTGCCTGTGGGTGACTTCGACCCGCCGCTGAAGGTCATCTTCCATATGGAGCCATACCGGGGTGGGCTCTGCCTCATCAATCAACGTGTCATGATGCCTGCCGTCTGTCTGTCTGTCTGTGTCAGGTCGGAACATCACTTCAGTCCAGTACGACATGCAGTTCATCGTACGGACATTCAACGACACTCGGTGGCTCTACCGCGACCCAATCACGCGGCTCCCCTGGTTCTACTTGTACGACAGCTACCACATCAAGCCGGCCTTATGGCAGCAGGTGTTATGCCCAGAGGCAGACGGGCCCGGCTGTGTGAGAGGCAGCGACATCGATGGCGTCTTCATGGGCCTTTGTCTCGACGGCAGCTCACTCATCGATGCGGCAAGAGCGGGCTTTGACGGCTGCTACTCCTACTTTGCCAGCGACGGCTTCACGCCCGCGTCGACAACCAGTCGGTGGCCGTGGTTCCAGCAGGAAGCGTGCAGCCAGGGGAGGGGGATGGGCACCAAAAGGCCGTTCCAGTTCATCCCCTGTGTGGGGCCGGGCTACGATGATACCAAGATCCGCCCCTGGAACAAGGCCACCACACGGCAGCGCAAAAACGGCGCGTACTTTGCCCAGGTAGGTACCACGGGCGGGCAACATGCTGACCATTCGACGATGGTGCATCTTGCTTGCCTTTGGCTGGTCTGTTTGCAGATGTGGGATGCTGCCCAGCTGCTTCAAGAAGAGCCGCCTTTGGATTGTAAGGGGCAGCTGCCCGTTGCGGGGCTGACCAGCTTCAACGAGTGGGGCGAGGGCAGCCAGATTGAGCCTGCCGTAGAGCGGGAGGGCTACCACACCTACCCCTCTGACGAGCGCCCTGGCCGCAAGGGCGACCCCTACTTCTTTCTGAAGGCCTCTCGCGAGTACATCGACCGGTGGAAGGGGCCCGGTGGGGAGGCGGCGCGGCGTGAATGGAGAGAGGAGTGGGATGATGGCAAAGGGGTGCGGCCGCCTGACCAAGAGCTGTAGAGGTGGGTGGAAATTATGTGTGTGTGTGTCTGTGTGGGTCGGTGTTGAGGGTGCGCTGCATAGGCTGATGCTAGACTGACTGATAGATGGAGACTCCCTTAGACGATCTGCCATCGTTACTTACATCAACGTCTGTGCGTCCGTCTCTCCATCAATGGACCGTCCCCCCGTGAGTGTATTCGTGTGCATATCTATGAGAACTTGGGCGACGCCTGTGTCTTGATGAGCCACCATGGTATCCTGATGTCGGGCACCAGCTGCTCCTTCCCCTTGAGCGCCTTCACCCCCGACGGCAGCAAGAATCGCAGTGACCGAAATGAGGGCGGTCTCGTGCCGTCCTCATCGTTAAAGTTGAACTCACTCGCCAATTCGGCTGTCACCTGCACAGACGCACACACGTGTAAGAAGAATGTGCGACGTGGTTGTGGGGTTTTGCTGACCTGCACCGATCCCGTCCGCTTGAGTCGTTTGTGTGGTGGGAGTGAGGCCAGTGCCGCCACTGCCCGGCCGCTGTACAGTGGGGACTCAGACAGGTAGGGGTCCAACACGCCCTTGGTCAGGGGATCTGACACAGGTCGCACCAGAACACACACACTCTCGCCACATCAGAGTGACCTAATGCCTCCAGACTGACCGTTTTCTTGCAGCAGCTTGTAAAAGTTCTCTGTTCGCACCTGCCATTCACAGCAGCCACACATTGATTGAAGAGACCCACCGTGGTCACGACGCATGTGTGTGTATGATCTTACTTTTCCCGGCCAGAGACTGACGACCGTGACGTTGTGCGGTTTAAGTTCTTCGGCCATGTCGGCCGCCATACGGTCCATTCCCGCCTTGCCGATCCCGTAGATGACATGGAATATGTACCTGACACCGCCCCAGCTGCTCACATTGACGATTAGCCCCTTTCGCTGCAGCAGCAACGGGCTTGCCAAGGCACTCGCAACGAAATGGGAGCGGAGACCGACCTGTTGATTAAGGTAATGGTGACCTTCATGTGTGCCTTCGTGTGCGCCGTCTTACCCCGTTGATGACGTCCCAGAGTTTGGCGGGTGATTGCCAGAAGGGCTTGCCCATCCAGTCGCTCACTGGCTGGGCTGCAACACACACACACAGACATACAGACACACAGACACAGACAGAGACACAGACACAGACACAGACACAGACAGACACAGACAGCAGCGGCAAAAGCGGGTGGTCGTTTGCTGCCTGACAAGTCTGTCTGTCTGGCTGGTGCTTTGTGGTTTGTGCTGCCGTACGTATTGTGAATGCGTTGTTGACGAGCACGTCGAGACCGCCATTCTCCCTCTCGACTCTCTTGAACAGCTGCTCCAGCTGCCGGTCATCTGCGCTGTCGCACTGCAAGGCAATGCACTCGCCACCTACAAACACACACACATCCATCCATCCATCTGTATGCTTGTTTGTTTGTGCGGATGTGGTCTCTCTCACCTTTGTCTTTGATGGTCTGCTGCACCTCCTCCAGCGACCCCAGGGTGTCTTTGCCCCCCTTCAGCGTCCTCCCGGTGATGTACACTGTCGCACCACTCTCCGCCAGACCAACTGCAGCCAGCCAATAAGAATTAATCAAAATGAAAGCTCCGTCTGCACTCCGTCGTCAGTGCGTGTGACATACTCGCAATGCCGCGGCCAATGCCTCTCGTCGCCCCTGCACACACGTTGATCCACACACACACACACATTCCATTCACCGTAGGTCGTGATTGTGCGTGGTCGGCTCCTTCCTGCTGACTGACCTGTGACGACAGCCGTCAGCCCCTGCAGCGGCCGTGTCGATGCCAGCCATGATGCACACCTGCAGGCACAAACAAAGGACAGCTAGGGATGCATGAGTCAGTGATACACTGTGAGAGAGATTCATCTCCTCTACCTTCGGCGACCGAAGAGGGTCTTCAGCCCAGCTGATGCGACTCCACTCGCCGTCAGAAGCACGCCAATGCGCTTGAAAAGCCTCCTCGCCAACATTTTCCGCCTCGGCGATCCGACAGCGTCGATGCAATTCCGGCGTCTTCGACTGATCAGCGACGAATTCGGCAGCAGAGGAGGACCTCTATCACTTTGATGACGACAGAGAGCGAGGAATGAGCAAATCAATCAGACGGCCGTCGCTGATGCAACACATCAATACGCATGAGGATGCTCAGGGGCACGCCGCGATAAGAAGACGCCACTGGCAGTGGTGACTGAGCCGGGGAGTCCGCTCGGAGTCTCAGGAGTCAGGACGCCCCCCCGACGCCCCCCGGCTGCATGTGCAGAGAGCGGTCTTGCAATGGCAGTAGCAGCGCCGGCAGAAGGTCCGATCAAGGAGGTCTTGTCAGCGGTGTTCGAATCCACCGATGGCGAGGCGTCCCCCTACTACACAGCCGAGTCCGTCGAGTTCACTGCCCGCTCCCGGCCGCCCTCCCCGACTGCTGTCGAGGGATGGCTGCAGAAGCGCCCGGCCACGTTCATCGGCGGGTGGCAGGACCGCTACTTCAAGCTGATTGAGGGCGGGCGGCAGCTGGGGTACTGGCGGAAGGTGCCCAGGGCGGGGGTGTCGATAGAGCTTGACCCGCCCAAGGGCATCATCAACCTCATGGCCGTGTCGAGCATACACATCGAAGACGCCACCAAATTCACGCTGCTCTCGCCTGGTGAGGGACGATTGGCAACCGGGTGCGCGATAAGGTGCCTGACTGTCGGTGTGCATGGCAGGTCGTGATTGGTTCCTGAAGGCTCATACGGCCGCCGAGAAGGACGCATGGGTGGAGGCCCTCGAAGCCAAGATGCGACTCTTCCACGCAGATCGGTATGTGGGTGTTTTGTGTGCGGCAGGCCCGCGTGTGTCGGCCTTTCTGTCAAAATGTGTGTGTGTGTGTGTGTGTGTGATGGGATCGGTCAGTGCGGTGGAGGAGGAGGAGAAGAAGGAGCGGTTCGTCGAGATGCTGGGCGGTTCGTCGAGATACAGGGCGTACAAGGCCAGGCCGCACCAGGTGGCCGCCAGGCCGGACTCCGCCAACACCGACGCCAAGAGGCAGTTCCTCAAACTCAAGGGCCTCTGGGAACCCCTGCAGATGGTCAGGCACAGACACGCAGCGAATTGTCTGTCGACTCCTGTCTGTCATCTGCAGGCGTGGGAAGCGTCAAGGGCCGAGAGCCGCCCGGCTGCATCATCAGCGGAAGGCGAGCAGCCACCCGCAGAGGAGGAGGGGCCTGCGGGTGCATCTGACGAGGAAGGCTTCCTCGAGTCCGTGCTGTTCGGGCAGCTCAAGAAGAACCGCCGCGACACCATCATTGCGCAGGACCCCTCGTCTGCCCAGTACGCCACCAGCTACTACTTCGTGGTCATCGCCAGCCGCCCCATCATCACGCTGAGGGCCACGCAGCCACTGCCCATCAACAGACACATTGCAGAGACCACGTGAGCATGCAGAAGCCACACACACGGTGTCGGCAAAGGATGCGTCTGTGTGTGTGTGTGTGTGTGTGTGTGTGTGAGGTTAGGTTTCCGCTGGGAGTGCAGGCGGACACGCTGTACTACTTCGCCGCAGAGATGGACGGCTCCTGTCCCAAGGGGGCCATCGACCTGCGCTCCTGCATCGACATATCTGACGTAGGCAAGGAAGAAACAGAGGAAACGAGTCAAACACACACACTGGCTGGTCGTCGGTTCTTCAGGTGATATCCCGTGCCGAGGGTTTTGAGGTCCGCCTGCACAGCGGCGACTACCTGCGGGGCATCCTGGCCGACACACAGCAGGAAGCCACCGTCTGGCGCGACGCACTGCGGGCATCCAGGAAGGCCGCCGAGGCACTTGACCAGGTGAGTGAACGATGAACGCCCTAGCAGACAGAGTCCATGTGTGTAAGTGACGGACGACTGGTGTTTGTGTTGTGTGTGGCTAGGGCCGCGATATGACGGTGAGGGAGCAGCTGCAGGTGTTCGACAGGACGCCGGCCGATGAGCGCAAGAGGGCGGCTGATGCCGCAATCAAAATCAAGCTTGCACGGGTGAGACGGGAGAGACGCACTCAACGGTCCATTTCGCTGTCGTCACGTGGGTGCTGGGCTCTTCCTCCCTCCCTGACCTCATGTGTGTGTAGTTGTTTGTGTGGGCTGTGGCCGAGGAGCGCGGGACCAGCCCCAAGACACTCGCCGACACCACCTCATTCCCCGCACTCTCACAGCTGCTCGCCAGCCACGCTACCGACATCCCTATCGACAAAGTACACACACCAACACATTCCATTCACACGCAGCTGAGGCCGTCTCTGTGGTGGCCATGTCAGCTGCTGGTGCTTCTCGAGGACTTCAGCAACGAGTGTGGGGCATTGCTGCAGGCGGCCACGTCGGTGCGGCCGCCCCGGAAGGACGTGTGTGCCTTCATCGTGGAGCAGTACCTCCGGCCCATTCTGGTGGGGCTGGCGGACTTCTGGACGGCGGCTGTGCGGCACGATGTGGAGCGACAGGGGGAAGTTGACATTGGGGACCTCCGGAACACCATGGCCATGCCCCCTGCAAAAGTCTTCGTGAGCCGCACACACACACACACACACGCACACAGAGAGAGAGAGAGAGAGCCGTCTGTGTGTGTGTGTGTGTGTGTGTTAGTCGATTCTGGAGTTCCTGCACGTGTTGAGCACTGGGTATGAGGAGTATGGTGTGTTCGACCTCTGCTACCCCGCCGCCATTGAGGCCCTCGCCGAGGCATACGCGCGGCGGGTGCTCGCCAACACAGTGCCGCTCGTCTTCAACCTTGTCAAACAGGTGTGGTTGGTGGGACTGACGCTATTGACACTAAGACGACACTCGTGCCCTGTGTGTCAGGAGACGATTTTCTGCCCCATCCGCCACGCCATCGAGAACTGGATCTACACCTCCGCCCCAGTGGACCTCTTCCATCTCGTCACCACATACCTCGGTACACACACACACACCCACGGCCATTCCTCTCTCTCTCTCCCCCTGTCAGCCCAAGCGCGTGACGCCCGCATCCGTGTGCTGAGCGAGAAGGTGCTGGAGATCACCAAGGCGGTGGTGTTCCACTACCAGGTCACTTTGCGGGAGCTGCTGCTGGCGGAGGGCGGCGTGGAGGGCTACCTGAGGCTGGACTTCCTTGCCGCACAGCTCAACAACACCTCACTTTTCATCGAGAAATGCGCGGCGACCGGTGAGAAGGAAAGAGCGAAGCAAGGAGGCAGAAACCGCCGCACCGCTGTGGTCGATCACTTTTGTGTGTATACTATAGATCGGTATATGGGTCTGAATTATGAGACGGAGCAGCCCGACACAGCAGCCGCTTCCTCGTCGACCCTCGGTGGCGGGATGATGGACGCCGACGACCGAGTGGCCTCTCTGAGCCTGCGCGAGGAGGCCAGGCGGTTCGCCGCGCTCGCGTCCATCGTCGAGGAGCTGCTGGCCATCAGGTGATGGCCGTGCGCTTCGACACGCGACACGGGCAGACAAAGGTCTGTTCCTCGGACTTGGTGTGGTGTGTGCGGTGTGTTGTAGGCTGCTGAACAATGCGGCTGTGTTGCTGAGGAGGAAGAACGTCATCGATATGCCCGTTAGACACGTGACCATCCGTAAGCAAAGCAGCCTAGCGACAACAGCAGGGCAGGACGGTCGTCTCTCATTGTGTGCCTGTCCTGTCCTGTCCGACTTTTGCCACCCCCAGAGCTGCTGGCGTCGTCCCTTGAGCGTCTGCAGGAGGACTTGCAATGGGTGTTTGTCCAGCGGATCGCCGCACAGCTGCTCCACCACATACTCGTCATATACCTCAAGGGCCTCATCAAGTAATAATACGCCCTGCTCCATCCATCCATCCATCCATCAAATGTGTGTGTCGGGTGTTTGGCAGGTACCCCGTCCCTCGCCCCGATCGCCCCCGTCTGGTGACCAAGATCCGGAACGACTATGGCGTGTTGGGTGAGTTCTTCGAGAGCTTCCTGGGCGAGGCCGCCACCAAGCGGCGAGTGGCCATCCTGCAAGACATGAGCGACGTGCTGCAGGAGCGGCCGGACTTCCTCACCTTCAAGGTGGCTTGGCCCATAGAGGAGAAGAGGGTGTCTGTCTTTTCTTGTCGTGTGTGGTGTGTGTCAGGTGTGCGAGTTTCGGCGCAAGTACGGGCCCTTCTTCGACATGTATGTGGTCACCCAGCTGGTGGCTCTCAGAGACGACATCAACAAGATGGAAAAAGACGAAGTCAGCAACCACACACACCCCCCAACACCCCCACCCCTCACTCTGCCCTTCTCTCTATCAGGTGTTGAGCAGCTGCCAGGAGGCCCTGTCGTCCATCAACGAGGAAGAGGGCGCCCCACCCGAACCCGACACAGCAGCCTCATCCCCGACCGGCGGCCTCCTCAGGTTCGTCCCCCTCACCGGACCACGGTCGCCGGACGCATCGACACAGCCATCCCGGACACCCACAAGGGGGCCACAAGACGCCGAATCGCGAAGGCAGTTGAGATCGTACGTCTGCAGGGGCTTGTGGGAAATGAACAAGGGAATCGGTTTTGTGTGTGTGTGTGTGTGTGTGCAGCGACGGTGGTCGCGAGCGGCTGCCGTCGATAACGGGCTCGGTGTTCGAGGAGCTCCACTGGACCAAAGTCGCCACGCTGAGAAGAGTACGCACAAGGCCGAAAGGAAGAAACAAAGGCAACGATCCACACACACCACACCTGTCTGTCTGTCTGTCTGTCTGGCAGCATTCGGGGCGCATGTGGGAGGAGCGAGAGACCAGGGGGGGCCGGCAGTCTGCAGGCAGGTCCAAAACGGTCGCAGTGCCGCGCAAGGGACACGTCACGCCACCGCTGCCGCCGCCGGCAGCCGAGCCCGATATAGGAGAGCAACGGGAGGAAAGGTCAGATGTGACGACAAGAAGAGCACCCAACCCACCTAGGTACCCGACTCTTGTCTGAATGTCGTTTCTTCAGGCTGACTGAGCGGCAGGAGAGCACCGACTCGTTGCCGCCAGGAGGTACCAGCACCCACAACACACACACACCCAGTCACCCTCCTCTCTCTCTCTCTCTGTGTGTGTGTGAGCAGAGTCCGACTCGCAGGTGCACAACCTCGACTGGTTCCTCAGCGCCCGTGACGTCAGCCCCCACCCCGCACTCATCCGCACCCCATACCCCTCGCCGTCCACACCCACAGAGGCCAGCAGGAGAAGGGCGGCCGCCCTCACTCGGCCAGGCGGCGAGAGCCCCACGCCTGACCCATGCCCAACTCCGTCATTTGGAGGGACGGCGAGGGAGCGGGGGTCGATTGGCGAGATGTCAACGCGGGATGGCAGCCGGCCGTCTGTGAGTGTGACGGGGAGCTCGCCAGTGTCCAGGGGGGGCGAGTCGACGGAGGAGATTGAGATGCAGAAGCTGTCGAGCTCATTTGTGAGCACCGATCCTTGGGAGGGAGAGGGAGGGAGAATGATGGATGCACCGGCCGTCGTTTGTGTGGTGTTTGCAGGAGGGTGTGGATATCGAGGAGGAGTACATCATGGCTGAGTCCACGCTGCCCGTCGTGGTCTGCGAGGGGCATTTGTACAAGAAAGACTTCGAGAAGAGGGGTACGTCAGACGGGCGCAATGAATGCTTGCCTGACCATGTGTGTGTGTGTGTGTATGTGCCTTGCTATTGTTGGTTGCAGGTTTGGCGGACGTGGCCAAGAGTCAGGCCCTCGCCGTCACATCGGGGCCAGACCTTCGCCACCTCAACCAAAGGCAAGTCCCCGCCAGCCAGCCAGCCATTCATTCATTCATGTCGGTCGGTCGGTGACTCACACACCCTTCTCTCCTCGTTGTGTCACTCACTCCCCCTGGAATCGATCAGCTGGCAGCTGCATTGGTGCGCCATCAAGAACGGCCGGCTCTACTGGTACCCTTCACGAGACAACCCCATCTCACAGGTAGGCACGGCACACAAAATGGACAGGCAGGCAGACAGACAGACAGGCACAATCATGGCTGCGTGAATGACATGACTGAGTGCACTCAGGGGAGTGTGGACCTCAAGTTCGTCACCGACGTCCGGCTGCCGGACCCTGAGGACGACCCGCAGCACCTCAGATTCCAACTCGTATGGATGAAACACATCACTGGCAGACAGATGCAATCAATGGCCAGCATAAATCCTCCGCCCCTCTGTGTGTGTGTGTGTGTGTGTGTGCAGCTGCAGCGCGCGGGCCCCACGTTGCCGCCGCGTGTGTATGATTTCCACGCCCCCACCATGCAGCACCGGCAGGTGTGGCTCGACGCCTTCCACGCCGTCCAGGGCAAAATGGCAGACACACAGGAGGACGACATTGACGAGGTAGACACCGACACACATACATACGCTCTCCGTGGATTTGCCTGCCTGTCCGCCTTGCCCTTACAGGACGATCAGCACACTGTCCGTCTGTACGAGGCGCCAGCGACCAGCATATTGTTCCTGGACCCCTTCGAGCCGCCGCTGATTGCCAACGTCAAGCGGGACATCCTGGGAGCCAACTGGGGCAGAAGTAAGCGGCCCATCCCATCCCCAGCTGCTGGGCGCAGACATCGACACGATCTCTCTCTCTCTCTCTGCGTGTGTGTGTGTGCAGGCTCGAAGGTCGTCGCTGCCGACGAGGATGAGGATTCCGTAAGCTAGCCGCGCCATCCTCAGCGTGCAGACAATCCCTCTCTGTGTGTCTTGTGTTGCGTGTGCCGGTGTATCGGACAGGAGGATGACTTCGAGACGGGCTATCGCGATGAGCTGTGCGTGTGCTGCCCCTGGTGCCAGCGCATCTGTAGGCGACTCAAGAGACGATTGTCACGGCTCGGCACAGGGGAGGGCAGGGCAATGGGCAGCGACGACAGGCAAAGTGCACGGCTGGTGGAGTGAGCTGGACAGATGGCTGTGAGGCGATGACTGACAATGGACGATGGAAGAACATTGGTCCTTGCAGATGAGATGTGTTGAGACGTCGGGCGCTGCGGTGTGGCTGTGTGTGTAGAGATAGATAGAGAGATGGACGTGTGTACAAGGTGATTGATTTATCGATACATTTCCTTCATGAATTTTCTATAATATCATTCCACCGCCCCGCCCACCCGGCTATTCACAGCCTCACAAACAAACATCATATACACGCTGGCCGGTGTGGGTGAAATAGCAGAGGAGGAGAGAGAGCCTCAACAGGGGTGGGCGGAGGGAGGGAGGTGCCTCACACACCCGTTGGCAGACGCGAAGCGACCGAGGCCGACTGTCTGTGTGCGTCCACACTGCCCTCCCTCCCTCTCTCCCTCCCCGCTCAGCCATACATGCCACCCACACGCGGCCAAAAGGGGAAGCGCTATGCCATGTGTCTGTCATTCATCGATCCAAAATGCGGACCAATTGCAGCTGTACAAACCGCCCATATCTGTCGTCGTTGACCCGCCTCACCTCCCCCTCCCGCATCTCGAGCAGCGCCTCCCGCATCCACTCGGACCAATCCGACACACGACACTCCGCCCCACTGTTACGCCACGCTATGCGGTTGCCTTCGAATCTATCAGTCCACGCGATGTCGTCGTACGTGACGCGCTCGAAGGCTGTCGGCGTCCTGCCGCTGCCCTCCCGCACTACCTCGTATGGGACACCACATGGCAATGTGCCGCTGCAACGCGAAACGCTGAAATGGCCGGATCAAGGAGGACAGACTCATGACGAGGGCCGACCATCTTGTCTGTAAGCAGCGAGATTTACCTGGCCTGCTGTGTGCCATGTGCCGCGATGGCTAGGGGGTTGTTATTGGCCTGTGGTCCTTGCCGCTGCGTGCGACTTGGCTGTGGTCCAGCGGTGGCATCCCGCCCCACCTCCTCGGATTGCACTCCGCGATGCAGAGAAGCGCTGCCTCCACTGTGTACACAGAACAGACGAAAAGGCAGAACCTTTGAGCAATGACGGAGGTCGGTGAGTGAGAGAGAGGTGCTGCTCACGTCCGGTTGGTCGGTGTCTGCTCGGCTATCGGCCGCTGGGGAGTCCCACGCTCCCTGTGCGCAGCGACACCAACGAAAGAGAGAGAGAGAGAGAGGGAGAGGGAGAGTACACCCCGCAAGCGGCAAGCACGCGCACCTGACTCTGCCGCCATAGTTGCGGTAGTATCTGTGGGGGCGACGCTCACGCTGCACACCACCTGCACACATGACATGCACCCACCCCCGCGTGTGTGTCGTGTGATGTCTGTCTCTTTTAAGCTCTGTCCGTACCCTCATGTCTATCGTCCCTCTGCTGCTGCTGCTGCCGCTGCTGGTGCTGGTGGTGGTGGTGGTGGTCTTGTCCGTCGGACACGAACGGCGACAGTGGCAGTGTGCCGCTGCGACGCAAAACGCTGAAATGGCCAGATCAAGGAGGACAGACTCATGACCATCTTGTCTGCAGTCAGCAGGATTTACCTGGCCTGCTGTGCGCCATGTGCAGCTGCGATGATGAAGAGATTGCTGTTGGCCTGTTGCCGCTGCCGCTGCCGCTGCCGCGCGCCACTCGGCTGTGGTCCAGCCATGCCCTCCCTCACCACCCCGTCCTTCTCCACACCAGACAGCAATGTGCCGGCTCGACGACTCACAGAAGCGCTGCCACCGCTGGCAGGACTGCCGACAACACACACATACAAAGAACAGACACAAAGCCGATAAGCACCTATGCTTGAGGTAGGTGAGTCTGACAGAGGTCTGCTTACGTCCGACTCGGCGGGGCTATAGCATTGGTGTCGTCTTGTCCGTCGGCCTGCTGCTGGCGCTGGCGAGGAGGAACAAGTGCGTCGTGGCTGCTTGGGGGAATAGGAGGAGCAGGGGGGGTCGGGTGGGGGTGCGTTGTATTGTTGGTCGCCGAAGCCGGCGCTGCCGCCGCAGTGGCCGTCAGCAGCTTCTCCAGGATGTCACGGAGGCCGTAGTTGATGTGCACATCAGCCTCTGGAGTCTCAACCCTGATTGACAGAAAGCCCCACACATACAGATGCACACGCACTATTGTGCATTAGTGGGGTGGCGGCGTGCACACCTGCATGTGGGACAGACAGCTCTACGACGGCCACGGGGGTGGTGGTCGATGAAGCCCCTGACACACTGCACAGGCAGTCAGCGAAACAAGAAGGCGTGATAGATACAATCCTGCAGTCCGATGGATGCGGCCATGCAGCCACTGTACCTTGAGGCAAAACGAATGTCCTGGTGGTGGCGGACGTATGGCACACAAAACACATACACATATATACCGACACTGACTTCTTCGCCCCTTGTGCGTGCGTGTGTCGGTGTGCGCTTCCTGCTCACCGCATCTAAGCACTTGGGGCTGCCTGTGGAGATCTTCGTGATGGTAGTCCCCGAAACACACGCTACACTGGGTAAGGCCCGCCACCGCGCCCACAGACCTGCACAGCATCCATCCATCACAGGAACAGGAGTGCGACCACTGTGATGTGCCCTACGTCTCAGCGACAGCTGGTGCGAGATCTTGCGGCACGTCGACAGCTGCACCACACACACACACACACACACACTCGCAGACAATGTTGTCAGTCAGTCACATTTGTACTACATTTGTTGCCTCTGCTGACCATCTATAGTGCCGTTGCTGAGTGTGACGATCAGCAGGGCGGGCGAATTGTCAGCGGGGAGAGGAACCTGGTAATTGCGATGCCCGTACCTTAGAAACATCCAAACACACACGCAACAGAGAGAGAAAGAAAGAATGAATCTGGACTGGATGCATTGCAATGCATGCATCGCATGTACCAGTCTGGCGGGTTGTCCCAGGTGCCTCGCCCGTTGTGCATGACAAACTCCATGATCCCGCCGCTGCCATCCGGCACCTCTACACGCGCCTTCAACCAGCCAGCACGCCGCCCATCGGCCTGCATTATACGCACACGCATCCATGTGCATCGAGGGATATCGTCTTGGACGCCCTTCTGTGTGCGATGCTTGCGGACCTCCATGGTGACGTCCAGCCATCTGTCTTGACTAGAGCAAGAGTAGCGCATCATGCACTCGGACCAGCCAGTGCGGTAACGTACCTCAACCAGCATCCCCTCTAGAAATGCAACGACAGCAATCAGCGATCGTCGCCTTTCGAGCTCGCAAAAAAGAAAGGGAGGGATTGAATTGATTCGCTGAGGGCTGGAATTTGTGCGGGTGGTGAGCCGAGGAGCAGAACAGCAGACACAGCAAACCCGCTTTTCTCAAATCCGCTTTTCTCAAACGCAGCAGGCGGACACCCCTTGGACGTCAAAGCCCGACTGTCCTGGTATGAGGCTCAACGCTCAAAGATGCAATGGCATCAAGCTGACCTTCACGCCAGGCTCTGCCTCGTGATCGGTGTCCGCTTCTTGTGCGGCGCCCACTTGCGGCAGCTGGACGTGGCCCGAAGGAAACAGATGGGTGTCTTTTGAGGTCTATCAAGCTGCTGCCATCATGGCCTTGCACAGTGTCAGTCACTTGGGTGCTGCCCCGCAAGAAGCCCACATTCCTTTCGGGGCTGTCAAGATCCCTGAAAAGAGTGTGGGATTCCTGCTGCACATGTGGGAGCCGTCTGTGAGTGTGCGTCGCGTGGCTACTGCAATCAAGGGATGGACTGTCGGGAACATGTATGCAGCACACCTGAGACACCGCATACATGAACCAAACAAGAGGGTGGATAAAAGAGGTGGAGATACACACTTCCACGCGAAGCCACAGAGCACCTGGCGGCGGCATGACAGCGACCACCAACCGTATGTATGTCAAAGGGACGAGCCCTCAGTAACTAAACAAGCAAGGGCATCTCATGCACGTGCTCCCAGTCCTGCCGACTACTCTAATGGACTGGCTACTCGCTCCCTCCGCCCTCCGCCCCTCTACAGACAGCTCTCACGGCGATTGTGAGGGCACGATGTCGGCCACCGCACTCAGCCACTGCCAGCCATCCGGCACCTGCACACACACAGACAGAACCAGGAGGGCAACGGAATCAAAACACTCATGTGCCCCCCTCCTCCCGCTGGCCCTTTCTGACCTGCAGTGTGTAAATCTCCAAATCGACACATGTGGACCAGTGGCTGGCGGCTAAGATGGCCGTCCCCCCTCCCTGAAGGTGCCCACGTACGCCTTGTCGTCGGGAAGATCACCCCTCCGCACAAACTGATGGCAGCTGCGCAGGTCGCCGCCCGGCTGCCCCTCCCCCACACCACCCAGCCACAGGCGGCCGCCACCGATGGACACCTTGCCGCTCCCGCACCCGTTGTTGGCCATCACCGCCCCCTCTGTGCCCGCAACTGTCACACGCTGCTCGACATGTGGCACGGTGATCTTGGCGATGCCGCCCTCCTCGAATGCGCCACTGATGGAGTAGAAGGTCACGGGGCAGAATGTCGTCTCCACTCCAGTGGGGTCGGCCGGCTGCTTGAGCTGTCCCTCGATGTGGCTGGCGAATGTGTGGCTGCCGGTGTCCTTGGCCACCAGCAGCAGGTCGGCCGCCTCGCCCACCTTGGCCAGCATGGTCTCGTGCGCCCAGCCGTCACGCTCGCCCCTGACACAGCCGGACAGACAGGAGAGAGATACGCTGATAGCATCACGGCCCCCGGCTCATCTTTGGCTGACCCACTTGTAGAGCAGCTGGGCGGTCATCTATATGTCGCGTGTCATGTCGATGAGGGCGTGGAGGTCATCGGCGGGGAGGATGGGGTCGGCCGGGAGAGTGCTCCACACCTGAACAGACACACACAGACGCACATGGACAGAGACGTCACATCGACATGATGACGTCAGTCCACTTGATGTGTCTGTCGGTCTGACCTGGTAGACCTCCAGTCGCTGGGCGGTAAACCAGTGGCTGGCAGCTATGGTGGCCCGGCCGTCCTCACTCATGTCACCCACATATGCCTTGTCGTCGGGGAGCTCATCCCTCTCCACCCACTGACAGCAGCTGCGGAGGTCGCCAGACGGCCGCCCATCCTCTCCGACCCCTAGCCACAGACGGCCCCCACCGATGGCTACCTTGCCCACGCGCAAGCCCTGGGGGTTCTTCACCGCCCCCTCTGTGCCAGCGACTATCACACGCTGCTCGGTGTGCGGCACGGTCATCTCGGCGATGCCGCCCTCCTCGAATGGCCCACTGATGGAGTAGAAGGTCACGGGGCAGCCGATGGTCAGCGTCGATGTGGGGTCAGCTGGGGGGATGAGGGGGCCGTCGATGTGGCAGGCGATGGTGTGCTGCTTCTCGTCCTCGATAACGAACAGCAGGCCGCTCACACCCGCCACTCGCTCTACCAGAGTGCCAAACTCTCCACCGTCAGACGAATTCCTGACACACAAAGGCATCCAAATCAACACATGGCATCTCCCTCTTGTCCCCCTCTAATGTGTGTTGTGACTCACTTGAAGAGGCATTTGATGTGGCTGTGGGATTTGCCGATCATCGAGAGGTACACCCGCTCCATGAGGCCGTACATGTCACAGGCATACAGCAGCTCGTCAGGCCAAGTGCTCGTCGGCAGCGGCGTGGCGGCGTCGGGGGCCAACCGAATGCGACGGACGTAATCCACCACCCTGCACACAGCACACACACATGGAGATTTCGTGTGCCGCCTGGCTGCTGCTGTGGTGTGTTACTTGTGGAAGGTGTCTGCCGACACATTCGCGACGGGCCCATACCTGCACACACACACACGGTGCCCAAGATGACCACCAGGCCATCTCATCTCCGCCTGTAGACCTACTTGATGAATCGGTCGTGCAGTATGCTGTAGTCGGCCAGCGTCGCGTCGGTCGTGGCCACCACACCGCCATCCGCCACACGCACACTCAGCACCTCACTGCCGCCCGTCCCGCCCGCCACCGATGAGCTGATGAACGGCGCCACGACGGCCGTGAAGCCCCGGAACGCCTCGCTGTCGTGGTCACCGTGTTGCGGCTCGATGGTGACGGCCGTCTTGGCGAAGAAACGGTCGTGGTAGAAGGCCAGTGCGGGGCAGCCCTCGATGATCTCACTCACGTCGATGCGGTTGCAGCTAAGGTACCGAAGCTTCACAGCCAACCTGAACACACACACGGCGAGTTCTGCTGCCTGTCAGCCATCGTGTTGCTTCCCTCCCTCCCCCTCACCAGATGAAGTAGAAGGGGTCTGCGTCAATGAAGTGAATGCGATTGTCGTCTGTGATCATCCAGCTGTCGAAGCGGTTCAGCAGCACCGCCAGGCAGGTGTCCCGCAGCCCCTCGCGCAGCAGCACATCCCGAGGGAACGCCATGACGAAGCCGCCCACGTTGAGCAGCATCGGCCGGCCGCTCATCTCCGCTGCTAGTCTGTCGGCACCGTCTGCTGTGGCCGTGGTGGTGGCCGACGGGCACTTCACGGCGGATGTGATGATCTGCTGGCGACAGAGGTATAGCAGCGGCAGATGGGATGAGTGCCGATTCTCAAACTCAGCGAATATCGACAAAGGTGACCTTCTGTGTCACCCTGATGCTCTCGCTAGCCTCGCTAAGCTCAATTGGAGAGGATGACTCTTTCTGTGTTTGGGAAAAGCGTGAAACGGGTCGCTGGCCCCCAGAAGCCCCCACCCATGCGAGACGCGGGAGCGTTTCCGAACACTTCAGGCCTTTTCCTAGTGCTCCAGAGAACCACACCTTTGACTTTCTTCTGCGCATGTGTGCCATGAGGCCTCCAGCAGCCGCGGGAGCCTGACGTCGAAGGCCGCTGACTACGGGCGCAGGAGGACGACAGTCTACGTCTACACACGAGCATTGGGGCTTTCCCTTCTGCCCCTCTTGCGTTACCCCTTTCACCTTTCCCCCCTGACCTGCTGAGCGACCATGGCCACCAACAGCACTTCGTGTGTGTTCGGTGAGTGTTTCGACACGTTCGTCGTCACCTCGGGCGGGTGCGAGGATGCGGCGTTTCGCAACTCGGTCAACGAGGGGTACATCCTGCAGTCGGCCTACCTCATCTTCCTGATGCAGGCGGGATTCGCCATGGTCGAAGCGGCATGTGTGGCCGGCAAGAACGCCAACAGCATCCTCGTCAAGAACACAATCGACTTCCTCATCACCATCGTCAGCTACACATACATCGGTGCGTACGGGGGGTGGCCGCCAGGGGGATTGTGGCAAGGCCTTGCTCGCCTTTCTTTTTCTGTTCTGTCCTGTATCGGTTGTGTGCAGGGTATTCGTTTGCCTTTCGTTCTCTGAGCGTGTTTTCTGACCCCGATGACCTGGCCTTCTACTTCTTCCACCTTGTCTTCGCCGGACTCGGTGAGAAATGCCACCAACCAACCGACATGTGTTTGCGTTGGGCAAGTAAGTGTCTGTGATGGTCGGTCAGCGACAACGATTCTCAGTGGCCCTGTGGCTGAGCGCATCTCGCTTCGTAGCTTCGGGCTTCTCTGCTTTGTGACGGCCGGATGCACATACCCGCTGATATCGGTCAGCCACATCACATCCACACGTGGAGGGCGGCAGCACCGGTCGATTGCTGTTGCTTTGTCCTGTGTGTGTCCCGTCTCTAGGGTTGGATATGGCGCCACGATGGTACACAAACACTCAGAGCCGTATCTGGGTCTGACAGCGCAGGAGGCACTCTTTTGCCAATAATGTCTCGTTCAGGCTGGCTCAATGAAGAGGGCTTTGTCGACTTTGCGGTCCGCAGGCGCACGAGCCTCTGGATGGTTGTAACTGGTCATGTCGTTGGTGTGTGTCGCTTCAGGGTGGCACGGCGGTTCATGTGGTTGGCGGCACTGCAGCCCTTGTCACGACAATCTTTCTGGGCCCGCGTGTGGGACGATTCGCGGTACCCAAGGCCATCAACAGACAGACAGACAGACAGACAGACAGCGTTCTTTTCTTTTTTCGCTAGGACTACACGCCTTGGAATGGGTCCCACATCTACGAGGTGCTGCAGCGGCGATCACCGGACCCCGAGTGCTACGTGTTGCCACTTGGCATGCCCCCGCTGCAGCTCGTCACACAACCCTTCTGGCTCCTCATCGGCACATTCCTGCTCTGGTTTGGCTGGTATGTCAAAGCCAATGAAACACTATGATTTGATTGAGACATAAGAATTGGAGATTATCGACCCCGCTATGCAGGTTTGGCATTATTCCGGGCTCCACCCACGGCCTCAGCCACGAGCTGGGGTACGTTGCGTCGAGAGTGGCGGCCGTCACCGTGCTAGGGGCGTGCGGGGGCGGCCTGTCTGCCGCCGTCCTCAGCACCTTTCGGCCGTTCAAAGTCGCCGACCTGTCGCTGGGCATACTGGCGGGGCTTGTGAGCGTCACCAGTGGTGAGAGACGCGCCGTCGTGTGCTCGATGGTGCCGTTCAAACACGCATGGCTGTACACAATGTACAGGCGCATCGTATTTTTCTCCATCTCATGGGCTGCTTATCGGGCTGATCGGTGCATTCTGCGCGTTCCTGTCGAGGAGACACTTGGCATGGTTGGTACACATGAATCAATCGACACATGCCGGCTCCCGCCTTTCGTCATCGCTTTTTTCCGTGTCTTTCGTGCAGGGCACACATTGATGGTTGGACAGAAGAGCATCGTCGATATGCCAGTCACATATTGCTCACACTCTGTGTGTATGTCTGTCCCATCAGATGTGGTTAGCGCCTGGCCCATCCATGGGGCCGCAGGCATTTGGGGCGCTGTGGCCGTCGGGCTCTTCGCCAGGGTACTATCATGTCGAAGAGCTAGCGAGGCCGACCCTCCGCAATAATTCGTCTCCGGCTCTCTGTCTGTGTGTGCAGTCGAATCGATGCGGTGACTACGTCAAGGTTGGGCTGCTGGTGGCCGACGGATCGACCGAATTGGAAGAGGTATTAACTCAGACACAACCATCCACAACCCCAGAACAACCATCCTTGCCTGTCCTGGCATTGTAGGCTCTTGAGCTGCTGGGTGAACAGGTGTACGGCGTGATCGCTGTAATCAGCACCACGGCAGCCATCACAGCCGGGACCATCATTGTCCGTGAGAGAGAGGGAGACCTGACGTTGCACACACCTTTTGTTTGTGTATCTGTGGTGTGTGTGTGTGTGCAGTTGATGAATCAGTGTCCGTTCACGCGACTGCGTGTGTCGCGTCAAGAAGAGCTCGAGGGCCTCGACTGGGCGGTGAGTGAGCGAGTGCGGGATGCCTACGTCGTTTGTGTCGCGAACGATGCGGCGTTGATCTCGCTGGCTGTGTCAGGAGCATGCAATCCAAAACGTGCAGCAAGCAAGACAAGAGGTGACAAACAGACAAGGGAGCCTCCTGTGGACGGACCAGCGATTTTGCTGTCTGTCTCTGGCCGCCTGTCAGGTGTTAGAGTCCTTGGTGCATTCGCTAGGTCAGCTGTATTGCGAGTGGGACCTCTCGTGGCTCTCACCCGAGGCAGGCAGACTCAGGCTGCACAAATCCACAAGCGGCACCATGGAGGTGAGGATGAGCCAGGCGCGAGAATGCACCGATTTGTGCCATTGCTTGTGGGTGTCCTTTATCAGTCTGCCTTGAGTGCCTTCGCTCACGCGAGCCGCGCGCTCAAGGACAGCGCACAGGCAAGAAAGGGCAAGCGGATGTCAGGTAAGCAAGAGCACAGACAGACAACACACGTGCGTCTCCAGACGTGTGTGTCATTCATGTGATCCTCTTCTCTGCCTGCCAGGCAATCTAATGGAGGACGGTGAGATGCCCGTCTTCTTGCCCCTCGGCACTCTCCGCATCAAGCTGGAGAAGGCTGAGCTTAAGTCACAGCTGAAGCTCCACCCCGGCGCAAAGCAGGACGAGGACCACAGCCACATGACCATATTCGTCGAAGTGAGGCTCTGCAGGTAAACAAACAGAGACACAGTATTCAAACTGTCTGTCTTGTTGGTTCGTGAGATTGTCTGAGTGTCGGTGCGTGTAGGGGCGACGAGGAGGACAACGAGGCTCACCCAAACTTCCGAAGGCCGCGAGTCACCCACGCCGTCGAGTACGGCAACCCAGTGTGGAACGAGGTCAGCCGCACACAAGTGACACACAGGAGAGACACACAGAGGAGATGCTCTCTCTTCCTTCTGAACGAATCAGAGTGTTGAGTTCGCCAACGTGGGCAACGAGATAGCCAACGACCTGCTGATCCGCATTACCGTCATCGCCTCCGAGCCCACCAGACAATTGTCGCCCTGGAACAGAGGCAGGACCAGCCTCAAAAACTACGTCATTGGAGACGTACTAACGGAGATTGGAATGCCAGATTTATGATCATGGAGCACTCACTGATTGTACATTGTGTCTCGCAGGTCTATTTCCGCGCTTGTCCGACCTACTGGGGCGCAGAGGGCGATCGCGTCAATCTCTCTCGCACACTTGCAAGCGGGGTCAGCAACGTTTATTTAGACAAGGCATTAATTGCGGCTCTGACAATGCTGGCACCTTCTGTCATACAGATGGTGTCCTCCGAGAGTCTTGTGAAGCCCATCCTGCTCTCCACCGCTCAACGCTCACTCAGTGCCCTGCAAAGCCTGCAAAGGCGGATGTACGCCAGCAAGTGAACCGTTGGTGACGTCTAAGTAATTAATGCGTATATATGTCGATCCTCTTCCAGTTCGTTCGGATCGGTGCTGGGCAAGCTCGGCGCAGGGAAAAAGAAGAAGATCATTCCCACGGGAAAGTAAGGGAGGGACACCCGCATGTGACGCAGGTGGCGCCTGTACCTTCTTTTGTTGAAAACAGGCTGTTCTTCCGCGTCTCCTTCTGCCCCTCACACCACAAGGAGATCCTCAAGAAGACAGTACAACCACCAAAACGGAGCACACAGGTGTTACGCTTTCTTTCTTCTCATCAGACGACTAATCTTGACGAGGAAGATTCTCGGGACTCGCGGACAATGACTCAGGAGCTCAGGGACAAGCATAAGCTCCAGCGAGGCCGCAGCAAGAGCGAGCGGATGGTCGACAGACTCAAGGCCAAGGTCCAGGAGCTCAGGGAAAAGGGCAACTTGTTGTCCAGAATCAGAAGCTTCGGTAACATGAGCACTTGGACAGCGCTAGTGCCTCCATCATTTCGTTGTGCTCCCGAAGCAGCGGCGTCGCGAGGGGCGTCTCGAGTCGGGTCTCGTTCAGGAAGCAAGGGCCTGCTTGACATCACCAACGACAGCAAAAAGGGCTCAGGACAGCTCGACCGCGAAGAGCTAGAAGGTATAAACGCACAGAACAAAAGCGCTTCCTCGCCCTCACGTCCATGTGGTCTCTCCGTCTATCCACGTCAGCTCCCGTCAAGAAGCAGCCTGGCAGTGTCATGTCTCCCCCCAAATCAGCCCTCCGCATCTCGTCAAAGGGCCCCTCGGCCAAGGTCGGCTCGCCGATCAGCAATCTCAACACACCCAACGCCAGGTCGGCGCCTCCCCTGGGTGATCTCGACAGCATCGTCATCGACAAGAAGGACAAAGCCGGCCTGGTGGAGGACCCGTCGGTGCTCACCCACCCCATGATGACGTCTGGCGGCGACGGCGAGACGCCTTTGCCGGGTGCGGTGAGGGAGAGTGGAGGGGTCAAGTTCAGCGGCAAGGTGGTAGAGGAAGGAGATGCCGACGAAGGATTCAATGACACAGGCAGGAGGGTCAAGAGGAAGCAGAAACTCCTGCAGAGGAAAAAGACCGGTGAGCATCACTGAGGGCTCGCCGGCTCTGGTATGTGCATGTGGTGATGCGCATTGCATTCAGGTCCGATAACCCTGGGCAAAGACGTAGAGGATGAAACTGACGAGGACCATATGGACATAGGTGGGCGGTATTTCATGCAGTGTCCGAGATACTCGCAGCGGTCTCATCGTCTTCTCAGGCGAGGAGTCCCCCATCAGCCCCAAGGCACATGGACACGTCAATTTCAGCGGACACGACACGGACGTCGACGACAATGACGATGATACCTTCGACGAGAGACACAGGAAAACAGCCAGACACACCAAACTCCTCGCCAGAAAAGTACTGCAGCACGATCCCTGAGAGAACAGAAACTCCTCACCACAAAACTTTTTGCTGTCTTCGTCCTTATTTACAGGCCACTGGTCAGCTGAAGCTCACCCCGGCCCAGCAGAAGGCCCTCATCGACGCTGGCGACAGCGAGGCACCATCGGAGTTTGGCAACCCAGACGAGGACGAGGAGGATGACTTGCCTGAGGTGCCGCAAGCCGTCGGCCGCATCAAGTTCGACAGCAGGGTCAAGGACGAAGAAACCGATGACGAAGCTCATTTCCACAGCCGCAAAAGAGCGGCGGAGAGGAAAGCCAAGCTTGGCGCGAGGCGGCCCACCGGACAGATCAAAATGACTTCATCGCAGCAGAAGCTGCTGACGGCTGATAGCGAGCCCAGCACGCCCGGACAGGATGAACCACAGGAGTGGTGGGATGGCGATGCTGACGATGAGGAGTCGGCCCCGGCCCGTAGCCAAAAGGCCAAGGGTAAAGGTGGGGCGGCGAGCCTCCGACTCCCGGCGACGGCGGCGAGGTTCGCCATGGAGGAGGAGGAAGGTGACAAGAAGGGCGTGGCCTTCACTGGACATGACACCGACGTCGAAGACGATGACGATGATACGTTCAACGAGAGACACAGGAAAACAGCCAGACACACCAAACTCCTCGCCAGAAAAGTACTACGGCACGACCACCAAACTCATCCGAACACACACATCGGTTGTCGCCTCTTCGCTTTTACTTACAGGCCACTGGTCAGCTGAAGCTCACCCCGGCCCAGCAAAAGGCCCTCATCGACGCTGGCGACAGCGAGGCACCATCGGAGTTTGGCGGCCCAGACGATGACGAAGAGGATGACTTGCCTGAAGTGCCTCAGGCTGTTGGTCGCATCAAATTCGACAGCAGGGTCAAGGACGAAGAAACCGATGACGAAGTTCATTTCCACTCTCGCAAAAGGGCAGCAGAAAGGAAGGCCAAGCTCTTCGCGCGCCGGCCCACTGGACAGATCAAAATGAGTGCCTCCCAGCAGAAGCTGCTGACTGCCGACAGCGAGCCCAACACTCCTGGCCAGCAGTCGCAGGAGTTCGGAGAGGAAGACGACTCGCCCAACAATAGGGGAGTGGGCTTCACTGGACACGACACCGACATCGAGGATGAAGATGTGAGCATCAGACCCACCCACACACAACCAACTAACTTGCGGTCATACGAATGTGTGTCTCCGTGTTTGTCTGCAGGAGGACGAGGAGTTCGGTCGTTCCGACCGGAAATCGAAGCGGTCCAAGAAGCTGCGGGAGAGGAAGGCAACGGGCATGGTACGTGTCTATCGAGGACATAGCCGTGACCTGCCGTCTATCTCCATCTGCCTTTCTGTCTGTCTGTCTGTCTGTCTGTTGTCTCCAGATCAAGATGAGCGACACGCAGAAGGGCAAACTGCACATGAGATACGACGATGAGGAGGAGGACGATGAAGATGATGAAGAAGACGACGACGACATGGACGAGGACTAAACCATGCGTGAGGGCCATTTTTCTTACACACTCACTGCCTTTGCGCCTTTGCGCCTTTGCGTTTACATACATGACATGTCTTGGGTGGGTGGCTGGCTAGACGCTATGTCCTTCTCACACAGACAGACAGACAGACAGACATAGTGTCTCTTCTCTTGGTTGGTGGGGCGGGCAGACAATGAGTCTCTGAGATGGCCTGCGTGTTCTCCTCTCTCTGTCTTTCCGCGGTGCGTGCGGCGTTTCGGTGTACAATCAATGGACAACATAGATTTCCCGTGTGTGTGTGTGTGTGTGCATGAGATAGGCACTGATTACGCTCACACCTGCTTATATATTCCGCCAGAGAATCGCCTGCGTTAGTTGCGGGACTCGTTTGAACGGATGATGTCATTCATGTCTCACCGCCCTCATGCAGACAAGTCAGTCGCACACATCACACATCCATCGATCGTATCAACCAACGTACCGGCTGAATGCATGACATGCATTGACGTGGATGCACTCTGAGCTCGTCAAAAAGCCACGACCCCCATCCCCATTCCCATCCCGTTGACTCATCCCGTGTCATGCATGTCAGCCAGCGTCAAAACAAATACTCTCGATACGTCCCTCCCGTCCGCCCAGTGTCCCGTCCCGTCCTCTGTATGTCTGCCCTTTTGCTGACTGAGACGCTAGATAGGTGGCTCTGGCCCTCAATCGATTGCCTCCTCCCCCCTGTCCCCGGTGGGCGGCACCAGGCCCACACGCGACCGCACCTGCGATGAGTCCTCATCTCCAGCAGCACCAGCAGCACCGGCAGCCTCGCCACCCAATAGCGACAAACCATCAGCACCAACACCAGCAGCAGCGATGCTCTCTTGGTCTGTGTGTAGTGGCTGAGTCTCCTGCTCGGCTGTCGAAGGGCCGTTGGTGGTGTGTCCGTTCTGTGTTGGCTGCTGTGCCGCTGGGCCCGTGTCCTGCGTCGTGGGGGCGGTGGGCGGTGGCTGGTTGATCAAGTTGGTGAGGTCAGGCGGCAGCAGGGGGGCTTCGTTGATTGCGGCCGCCGAAAAGAGGCGGGAGACGTAGTACACAAAATAAAACTGAGCAGGGCATACACACATATGTCGACACAATTGCTGGTTGGCTGGCCTGGCTGGCCAGCTGCTTGCTTACCACGAGTCGGATGACGTGGAAGGACACCAGGGTGAAGAAGCGCTCCACACGATGGGGGGCTGACATTTATGGACACAGACAGACAGACAGACATCACATGGCATACGACTCAGCCGTCGATGCGATGCATGTCTTACATCGATGTGCCCGCACCTGGTATGGTAAAATGAATGGCCCGTGTGATGACCCGCCTCTGCGCCGGCTGTGGTGCCGCCTGCTGCTGCTGCTGCTGCTGTGGTGGCTGCCCGTCCCCTCCGCCATTCATCGTTGTCTGACCGTTGGCGGCCTCCTGTGTGGTGCCCCTTTGGCCCGCGTCAATCGGCACAGTTGTGGTTGTCGAGAGCCGCAGGCCCCGCTCGCCATTGGGGCGGCCCACGGACACCGCCAACCGGACTGCACACGCACACGCACGCACAAGACATTGCAATGATGTATGTCATGTGACTGTGGATCCGTTGTCTCGTCCTCTCGTCAGCTTGCCTCTAGGCAGTGGTGCTGCCGCTGCCGCCGGTGGCCTGTTGTTAGTTTGTCCACCCTGGTTGCCACCCTGCTGCTGTGTGACGAACGGCGGCATGGGGAAGAGCGGGTCTGGGGGCGGCACGTGCACGCCAGCTGGGGCGTGACGGCGAGCTCGTGTGTGGTCGGACAGCAACCTGATTGATTTGACAGACAGCAACCGATGGATTGATGCTGGCTGCTGTTCCCCTGTTTGTTCTGGTGCATGTCTGTCTGACCTTGCGTCATCGCCTGACAGAAGGGTGGCCCTGCAGATTGGGCATGTGATCTCATTCTCCAGCCACTGACGCAGACAGTGCCTGAGACAAGACAAGACAACCACAGCACCAGCAAGCACAGCACAAGTTGACCATTGGACCAGTCCTGGGTGGCACTGTGTGTTCATTCTGGGAAGGAGTCCTCCTCTCACTCACAGGTGAAAGACGTGGCCGCACGGGAGCCTCCTCGCCGAGCTCATGGTCTGCAGATAGATAGGGAAGCGCCAACACGTTCCCTGCCCTACAGGCTGTCCTGTCTGTCGCTCGGTTGTGTGCAGTGCAGTGCCTACGTCTCTGCAGATGACGCAAATTTCGTTGGGGCTCTTGATCTCGTCCGCAGTGGCCGGTGGGAAGCTCTTCTCCAACAGACTGCTCACCACACGAAAGTTGCGCAGCCGCTTGTACTGCATCACACACACACACACATAGGTGATAAGGCATTCAAACCTTTGTAGCGGCCTCTGAGTCCATCTGCCTGGCTGTGTGGCGTGGCAGCTGACTGACTTGTCGCCTCAGCGCCATGATTGATATCCGCAGAGAGCCTGCAGCGAGCATACACGCCAGACGCCACACCAGGCAAGTACCTACCAAGATCTGTCTGCTTGGGCTCTCTCTCTGTGTGAGTCTGCACGGCTCTCTCAGGTGGCTGTGGTTACTTACACATGATGAATATATCCATGGCTGAGTAGGAGCCGAAGACCGCCCAGAGGAACATGTCGTGGGCCGCCATGAGGCCGTTGATCAGCAGCTCAACCACCATCTTCACCGTGAAAATCGACGTGTACCTGACACACACACGTACGACACACACAACACACACAACACACATTACACATCAGACGATATCAAATGAATTAATGGCACATGACAATGCACTGTCGATGATGCAGCGTATATATGTGAGTGTAGGAGTCAGCTTCTAGGTGCTGCCATCGCGTGTGTGTGAGAGCAGCCCTCTTGATGGACCCCCGAACACTCCCTCTTCGCGTCGTGCGGCGGTCAGTCAGTCGATTGATGTCCACATAAAGCCGACCAATTTGGGACGCGGCAAACTTATGGCTGCTTCCCCTCCCTCCCTCCCTCCCCCCCTCCCCGCCTCCCACACTCACTTGTTCTGCTGTGCCTGCGTGTCGATGCAGTGCATTACGACCTGGAAGCCCACCGATGCCGACCTCAGCAGCACCAGGGCAGGCTGAATGGACACAACAAGGCAGGCAGAATGAGATCATGACATCGTTGGCCTCTTTATATCCGCGTGTGTGGCTGCTCACCTCGTAGATGAGGCAGAGCTGTAGTGGAATGGCCACATCGAAGAGCAGCACCCTCGACAGCATGATCCACAGGGCCGCACACGTGACCACACACAGCCAGTAGGCCAGCAGGGCCACCAGCCGCCTATATGGCTTCTCGGTGGCGTGCTCGGGGGGATTCAATAACCGACCTGCCAGCCAGCACACACGCACATACACACACACACACACAGATGAGATGGACAGCTCATGGCTGGCTGCTGAGTGTCCGATGAGCTGTCGCCTACTTTTGATGAGTTCCAGCGAGTTGCGCAGGAACGCCGGCACGGTGCACCAGATGAGGTACATGAGCATCTCCTTCCGGTAGAAATTGGTCATGTAGACGATGAACAAAACCCGCCACATCTGACCAACAGCAAACCAAAGGTCCATCCGTCGTGGGTGTCATCCGTATGATGGCCAGCTGACGCACTCTGACGCACTCACTCACCACGTAGCTCATGGACTTCTCAACGATCTTCTTGCGCTCGTACGGCCGGATGCCGCCTGACGGCAAGAGCACCGCTATCATGCAGATTCAGTCACTCCTGTGTGTGCTGTGCGTCCTGCGTACCGAGGAAGAGTTTGTTTGCGATTTGGAAGATCAGCAGGCACGTGTTGACCTGCACGTTCAGCAGCACCAGCAGCGTCCTGCGCCACACAAACACCAAACACACGGCACACACAAAACACCAGCAGTAGATGTAGGTCCAGACGGTGGTTCTGCCTCAGCTGTTGCCTCTCTTGTGCTGCCCACCGACCATTCTGCGTTGATCCACTCTGTGAGGGAGTCGTGTCTGTGGAGCGATATGTAGAAGGACCCGTACGTGAGAACACTGTACAGCGCCAACATCTATCAACCAAGTCCTCTTCTTCTCGACTCACTTGCGAGCTCGACCTTTTGCGAGTCGAGAAATGAAAGAGATCCGCTTTTGGTACCTCTTGAGGCCGTCGCTCTGGTCCGTTCAAAGGCGAATTGACTGACTGCATCTGACTAACAAGCCCAAGATCAGATCATGGATGACGAGGCTCGCGGTGCTGACGACGCCTTTGGCGGCGATGAGGACATGTCGTCGCCGTTCATCTCGCCCATCGCCCAGCCGCTGCTCGACATCAACTCCAAACTGCTGGAGCGGTCCCTCAAGCTGCTGAGGAAGGCCGCCGGCGAGAAGAAATCACTCCGGAGGGGCGTGGCCGAGGTCACCAAGGCCATACGCAAAGACACCAAGGTGAGCGACGGGATATATGCACGAACGACGTTGCTGGTGAATGCACTCATCGCCTGTCCTCTGTATGCGTGTGCGTGTGTCGGCTGAGTGTGTGTGTCTGTCAGGGTGTTGTGTTTCTCGCTGCTGATGTGTTTCCCGTCGACATCGTGGCGCACCTGCCCATCCTGTGTGAGAAGAAGGACGTCCCCTACTGCTTCGTCCCCTCGCGTCGGCTGCTGGGCAGCGCCGCCAAGTCCAAGCGACCGGCCTCTGTGCTGCTGGTGGTGCAGCCCAAGGGCGAGGAGTCTACTTACAAGAAGCTCTTTGAGAGGGCCGACGAGGGCGTCAGGAAGATCAACCCTTACTTCTAGCCGACTCACTGATTGGCTGGTTTGCTGTACTTACCTACTGAGTGGCTCTAGATTTTTCCGTCATGACTGCTGTGAGTGGTGGCATGCATCTGTGAGCAATGGATGGATGAGCAGAAGTCGTGCCTGCATCATGGTAGTCATGAGCTCACACTCGCCGACGGGTGCTGGTCCTGTCGACGGGGCCGAGGACTCATCGGCGTGTTGGGCAAGATGTCCTTCGTGATGCAGGCATGGACGGGCGCCAGATCGGCAAGCGCTTGAGAGGCTGTGGGAGCAAGGCTGTGTTCTGTCATTGTATTGTATTGTGTCATGAGCTCATGATGCTCTCCCTCTTAATGTTTTGACTGGATCGGACGGTAGCGCACTGTTTCCGTTACAGTCCAAGCCACTCGGGACAAATGAAACTCTGTATTAAGCATGGAGGGCTCTCTCTGACGCTGGCAGATTGCCCTATGAACAGACGCTGCACACTTATTTTAACGTCGTTGACCAGTTTTCCAGGACTCGCTGTGTATGGTAGCTGCATGGCGTCTGCGGAGAAGTAAACGAGAGACACACGTCTGTCTCAGGGGACGGATGGATGGATAGACGGTCTGTCTGTCTGTCTATCTCAACGACTATGTTGGGATCTCTGTCAATCTGCCATCAAACGCTATCGAATCTGCGTGCGTCATCGAGACAGTCAGCAAGCCACACAGTGCTATCCGTGCAACTATGGGCTTCGTTCCCGCCCCGGCTCACTCTTCGTGGGTCTCACACACTACATGTGACGAGGCGATGAAATTCACACAGCGCGCCATCAAAGGCACTAGCTAGACAAAAACATAGGCTGTAAGAACACATTCGAGCAGCTGGCCGACTGTCCTAATCCACTGGCTAGTCGCCCCGCTCCCCTCAGCCCCTCTACAGCTCTCATGTCGACTGGCCGAGAATGATATCGGCCACCGCACTCAGCCACTGCCAGCCATCCGGCACCTGCACACACACAGACAGAAACAGGAGGGCAACGGAATCAAAACACTCATGTGCCCCCCTCCTCCCGCTGGCCCCTCTGACCTGCAGCGTGTAGATCTCCAAATCGACACACGTGAAGCAGTGGCTGGCGGCTAACGTGGCCCATCCCTCCTTGTTGATGCTGCCCACGTACGTCTTGTCGTCGGGCAGCTCATCCCTCCCCACCAACTGACAGCAGCTGCGGAGGTCGCTTGCCGGCTCCCTATGACCCCCAAGCCCCAGCCACAGCCGGTGCCCACCGATGCACACCTTGCCAGCCGTGCCCTTGCTGCCCATTGTGCCCACCAGCTCCACCTCTGTGTCGACGACCGTCACACCGTGGTCGGCATAGGTGCGCGGCACGGTGACCTTGGTGATGCCGCCCTCCTCGAAGGCGCCGCTGATGGAGTAGAAGGTCACGGGGCAGCATGTCGTCTTAATGTCAAAGGGGTCGGCTGGCTGCTTGAGCCGTCCCTCGATGTGGGTGGCGAATGTGTGGCTGCCGGTGTCCTTGGCCACCAGCAGCAGGTCGGCCGCCCCGCCCGCCTTGGCCAGCATCGTCTCGTTTGCCCAGCCGTCACGCTCGCCCCTGACACAGCCGGACAGACAGGAGAGAGATACACAGTGCCATGCTGATACGACAGCTTCGACGCTAATCACTGGCTGACCCACTTGTGGAGCAGCTGGGCGGTCATCCCAACGCCGCGTGTCATGTCGATGAGGGCCTGCAGGTCATCAGCGGGGAGGATGGGGTCAGCCGGGAGAGTGCTCCACACCTAAACAGACACACACATCGACACATGGACACACACGTCACATCGACATGATGACGTCCGTCCACTTGACGTGTCGGTCTGACCTGGTACACCTCAAGTCGCTGGGCGGTGAACCAGTGTCTGGCAGCAAGGGTGGCCACTCCCTCCGCTTCGATGTCACCCACGTACGTCTTGTCGTCGGGCAGCTCACTCCCCTCCACAAACTGACAGCAGCGGTGGAGGTCGCCAGCCGGCCGCCCCTTGCCCATCCCCGGCCACAGACGGCCGCCACCGATGGCTACCTTGCCAGGCGTCGCTCCATTGCGGTCCTTCACCACCCCCTCTGCGCCGGCGACCTGCACGCACTGCTCGCCATGCGGCACGTCGATCTTGGCGATGCCGGCGGCTAACGTGGTCCGTCTCTGCTCGCTGATGCTGCCCACGTATGACTTGTCGTCGGGCAGCTCATCTCTCCACACCCACTGGAGACAGCTGCGCAGGTCGCCAGCCGGCCGCCCATCATCCCCATACCCCAGCCACAGACGGCCGTGCATCCTCTCCCCATACCCCAGCCACAGGCGGCCGCCACCGATGCACACCTTGCCGCCGAG